ATATGGCTGCCCCAGGTGAGCCCTCAGGGGCCATCAGAGGAGAATGGTGACCTTCCAGATGGCCCTGTGCCGAAAGTCTGGGTCTCTGTCCCGGCAGAGAGGAAGGCTTGGGGCCTGGCTCAGCCCTGAGTCTCCGCACGCTGCCCGGGACTGCGGTCTGGCCTGCACAGCGCGACACAGCAGGCAGGACCTGCTTTCTGCTCTCTAGCCGTGTACTCTGCCCCAGCCTACAGGTCAGCCCTGGAGGGCAGGGCTTTCTCTCTGTCTTGCTCGCAGCTGTGTCCCCAGTACCTGGCGCACAGTAGGTGCTCAGTAAATATTTGCTGAATGAATGAATGAATGAATGCATGCATGAATGAATAGGTAAATGGCTTCTGGTCCTGCTCCTTGGCTCTGAGATTCAGATCCCCCTTCCGCCCACCCCGCCACAGCCTCCATCTGTGTGGACGACAATCTCCTATTTATATCCAAACAAAGGGCTTGGATGCTGACAACAAACACGTTTGCAGTCGAGGCCTGCGTGAGGCAGCGTGCGCCGTGGGCATGTTCACACTCAGGCACAGGCCCTCCGCGGAGCCCCGGGCGCTTGCCTGGTGCCACGAGTAAGCGCAGGCCTTTCCCGCTGGCTGCCGTGGGGGAGCCTCACAGAGGGCTCGCCTCTCCTGCCCCCGCCCGCCTCCCTGAGGCTGGCAAGGGGTTGGAATGTGTAATTACAGTCTACAGGGCAAATTAGAACAGGGAGGGAGCTCTTTCCTGACCGCAGAGAACAGGGCAGTGTTTGGGGAGGGAAGTGCCAAAGCAGCAGAGCAGGCCGGTGTGTGTGTGTGTGTGTGTGTGTGTGTGCGCGCGTTGGTGTGTACACACGCCTGGGTGCTGTGGTGTGGGAGGAACCCAGGGTGAGGATCCAGAGGCCCTTCGCTCGCTGGCCTCTCCGAGCCTCAGTTTCCTCAGCCCTAACACGGAGCAGCAGCCCGGCTCTGCGCACCGGCTCTGGGGCCTCACCACGGGCCAGGCTGCAGGGTCTTGGTGAGTTTGGACGTGGGCGGTGGATGCCAGGCTGTGTGTGCACGGGGAGGGGTGAGGACAGTAACCGGGGCTTTCATAGGGTGATGGTGATGAGAGCTTTGTCTTTGTCAATCCTCACCCAGGAGATTTTCCCATTGAGGTTTAGAGAGTGGAAGGGAGAGGAGAGACAGAGAGAAACATTGATGTGAGAGAGACACACTGGTTGCCTCCCGCACACCCTGACCAGGGCGGGGGATGGTGCCTGTAACCAAGGTACGTGCCCTTGACTAGAACGGAACCCGGGACCCTTCAGTCCCCCAGCCGACGCTCTATCCACTGAGCCAAACCAGCTAGAGCTGAAGCGTTTTTCAAATGCTTAATAAGGGCCCAAGAGACACCTGACCAGCCCCAGGTCACAGCAGCCCTGTGGCACAGACGCTGCGATCGCAGCCTCATTGTACAGGCAGGAAACTAAGGCTCAGAGACACGCCTGAGCTGGTAGCAGGGATCCTTCTTTTCAGGCTGCTTTGCAGCTTGAACACGATATGGTCAGGGCTCGGATGGTGCCCAGCACCGGCACCCGGCTGTGCCCAGGCCAAGGGGTCAGGGCGGCCCAGGCTCTGCAGCCAGCTGCCCAGGTTTGATTCCTGATTCTTGTGAACCTCTGTGGCCTCAGGCACTTAACCTCTCTGAGCCTCAGTCTCCTCCTCTGTAAAATGGGAATTATAGCAGTGCCTACCTGCAGGGCAGGGCCTTGCAACCTCAGCTCTGTAGACCTTTTGGTTTGGGACGGTCCTTGCATTGTGGGATGTTTAACCACATTCTTGGCCTTGACCCACTTGATGCCAGTAACCTGCTCTCCCCTGCACATGGTGACATTGTCCCCAGACATTGCCAAGTGTCACTGGGGAGCGAGTGGGCCCCACTGGGAGCCGCTGGACTCGGGTTGCAGCGAGGATCCGGTGAGCGTGCGCGTGGGAAGCGCATAGGCTGGCCCCTGGCACAGGGCGAGAGCAGCAGAATCCTGAGAATGATGGCGGTTTATCGCACAGTTACGATTTCATCATAATTAAAATGCTAATGCTGATCCCTGTGCCTCGCCCAAGGCTACGAGCAGCCGGTGAGCGGCTGGCAGGGGTTTGAACCCCGGGCTGGCTGACTTCAGGCGCACAGCTGTGGAGCCCCTAGAAACCCTGATGCTGTTCAGGTTGGGGTTCCTTAGAGGAGGGGGTGCATCATGGTGGGGGGTCTGAAGGGGCCCTCCCAGCTACCTCTGGCCTTGGGAGCTCCCTGAGGGGGGTGTCCATGAGGCCCAGCCCCAGTGGAGGAGGGGGCCTTGGAAAGGGGTGTGGTCATTAGGAGGGTGTGACAGTGGAGGCATGTAACCAACGCCTTGCCTCTTCCTGACGTGGGGTCCCCAGTGAGGGGGACAGGGCTGTTTCTGGGGTGTCTAATTCCCCCCTCAATGCTTGTACCCCCAACGGACACTCCTTCCTGCCTCAACATGTGGCATTTGTTCCCATAGAACAAAGTCCGAAGTCATGTGACAGTGCTAGTGGACACGGGTCCAGGTCTCCGTCTCCCACCTGGCTGGTGGATGGGACCACTGACCCCTGAGGTCCTACTAGGTGCTGGCACTGAGTGGGTGCTTCACATTTCTGAGGTCACTGGCATCTGCCAAGAGCTCTAGGAGGTGTGGTGCCATTTTACAGGTGGAAAAACCGAGGCCTAGAGAGAGGAAGTGATTTGCCCAGGATCACACAGCTGCTAGTTCCAAGGCCGGGACAGGGACCAGCTATATCTGATGTCAGAACCTGCGCTCCTAACCCTTCCTTCCTCCTCTGATTATAATCAGTGACAGCCCCCAGTTTACTCCCAGGGCTGGTACTGCACATGCCTGATCTCATTTAATTCTTTCTGCAAACCTATGAAAAGCTACGGCAGTTGTACCCATGTTACCGGTGCGGAGGCGGAGGCTCGGTGCTCAGTGGTAGGAAGACAGCAGAGCTGGGCTTGGAGCCCAGGCCTGAATGACTCTACAGTCCAGGCTCCCCTTCCACGCTGGAGCCCGGGGGGCAGTCCCGGCAGGAGCGCTGGCATCTGTGCCCCCTGCGCCCGCCAGGAGAGGCCTCTTGAGCCCTGGCCGGTTTGGCTCAGTGGATGGAGCGTCAGCCTGTGAACTGAAGGGTCCCAGGTTTGATTCCGGTCAAGGGCACATGCCTGGGTTGTGGGCTCGATCCCCAGCAGGGGCCGTGCAGGAGGCAGCGGATCAGTGATTCTCTCTCACTGTTGATGTTTCTCACTCTTCCTCTCTGAAATCAATAAAAATATAAATTTTTTTAAAAAGAGAGGCCTCTTGCCGTCCCCACCTCTCTCGCAGCCGCAGAACAAACAAGGTGGGGACCAGTGTTCACTTGCTCCTCCGCTGGTGTGCTGGGCGGGAGGGGACAGAGGAGGACTGTTCAGTCTCCCTCCCGCTGGGCGGGATGCGGGAGTTCCAGGAAGCCGGCCTCGGTGCCAGCGCCTGTCTCTGAGCCAGAGAGACCAGGGTGCAAGTCCAGCTCGTCTCCCTCCAAGCTCTGACGGCCCCTCTTGTTCATTTTTATTTTTTAAAATATTAAAATACTAATTTGTTATTACAATGTTTGTTAATCCTCACCTCAGGATATTTTTCCATTGGTTTTTAGAGAGAGTGGAAGACAGAGGGAAAGACAGAGAGAAACATCGATGTGAGAGAAACACATCGATTGGTTGCCTCCTGCACGGGCCCCAACCAGGGCCTGGGCCGGGGAAGAGCCTGCAACTGAGGTATGTGCCCTTGACCGGAATCGAACCCGGGACCCTTTGGTCTGCAGGCCGACACTCTATCCACTGAGCCAAACCAGCTGGGGCTATATTTTTTAAATTACAGTTGACATATGATGTATTAGTTTCAAGTGTACAACCCAGTGATAGACATTTATATAACGTATGGAGTGGTCACCCTGATGGAACTAGCACCCACCTGACACCACACATAGTTATTATAATATTCAGTAATGTGCATCGCGTATGGTATTACCCTAATGCAGTAGGGGATATAGACTATTCCCTATGCTACCCTTTACGTCACCATGACTGTTCTGTAAGCACTCATTTGTATTTAATTGCCTTTTTCACCCACGCCCACAGCCCCTCCCATCGGGCGCCCGGGACATGTTCTCTGTATCTGTGAGTGTGACTGCCCCTAGGAGCTCCGGGGCCTCACCTGAGGAGTGGGGACCGGAGATTCCTCTGTCACAAGGCCATTTGTTCGTAGGGAGGGCGTCCCAGAGGAAGGGGCAGTTGAGCTGGGACACGGGCGGGGGCAGGGGGCGGGGTACCAGGCAAAGAGGGATCCGCCCGCACAGGGGCAGAGTTTGTGCCTGGGGAGGCCGGCCATGTCTCAGAACCTCGATTTCTTTCCGATTCTGAAAAATGGGGTCAGAACGGTGGTGCTGATGAGGAAGCTGACTGGGCCCCGCGGGTTTCCTGAGCCCCCGGCGCCGGCGCAGGGAGGTGGTGGCCGTGTTTCCCAGGTGCCTACTGTGTGCCGGGCCCTGCCCTCGGGCATCCCCGTGACGGTGACAGACCGGGCTGTGGCTGTGGCTGTGGCTGTGGCCGTGGCTGTGGCTGTGGCCCTGCCCCGGTCAGCATGGCCGTCGCAGTTGCTAAGAGTGGAGCTGGCTTTGAACCCTGCTCTGTGGGCTCTGAGGCTGGTGGGTGGGGGGGAAGCCTCGGCTCCAGGTGTGGGTCCCGGGTGTCTGAGGCCCTTCCTCCTGCAGCTCAGCCCGGGAGCGGGTCGGCGTCCAGGTCCCTGACAGGCTCCAGGCAGCTCCTGCCCGGCTGGCGGCAGCCACAGCTGGGGCGCCGCACCCTGTCATTACAAGGGAGGCTTTGAAGCAGCCGCAGCGGGCTGTTTGCCCACGTGGGAGGGTCCTTCCTGAGCCCCCGCTGACTCTCCCGTTCCCTTGCAGGCCCAGCCGTGAGGACGCTCGAGGCCAGCATGGCCGATCCCAGCGAAGGCCCCCGCGCGGGGCCTGGCGAGGTGGCTGATTCCCCCGGGGATGAGAGTGGCACCGCCGGGGGGGAGGCCTTCCCCCTCTCTTCGCTGGCCAACCTGTTCGAAGGGGAGGAGGGGTCCCCCTTGCCCTCACCGCCCGATGCTGCTCGCCCGGTCGCTGCCGCCGCTGCGGGCACAGGCGATGGGCGACCAAACCTGCGCATGAAGTTCCAGGGCGCCTTCCGCAAGGGGGTGCCCAACCCCATTGACCTGCTGGAGTCCACCCTGTACGAGTCCTCAGTGGTGCCCGGGCCCAAGAAAGCGCCCATGGATTCGCTCTTCGACTATGGCACCTACCGCCACCACCCCAGTGACAACAAGCGGTGGCGGAGGAAGGTCTTAGAGTGAGTATTGCTGGCTGCCCAGGCAGTGGTCTCCAGCTCTGTACTGAGTCCATCCACCCACCTGTTCATCCATCCATCCATCCATCCACCCACCCGTCCGTCCATCCATCCATCCACCCACCCACCTGTCCATCCATCCATTTATCTATCCATCTATCCACCCACCTGTCCGTCCATCCACCCACCTGTCCATCCATCCATTTATCCATCCATCCACCTGTCCATCCATCCATTTATCTATCCATCTATCCACCCACCTATCCATCCATTCATCCACCCACCTGTCCATCCATCCATTTATCCATCCATCCACCTGTCCACCCATCCATCCACCCACCTGTCCATCCATCCATTTATCCATCCATCCATCCATCCATCCATCCATCCACCCACCCGTCCATCCATCCATTTATCCATCCATCCATCCATCCATCCATCCATCCATCCATCCATCCACCCACCCACCTGTCCCCCCATCCATCCACCCACCTGTCCATCCATCCATTTATCCATCCATCCATCCATGCATCCACCCACCCACCCACCCACCCACCCACCCACCCACCTGTCCACCCATCCATCCACCCACCTGTCCATCCATCCATCCACCCACCTGTCCATCCATCCATCCATCCATCCACCCACCCACCCACCCACCCACCCACCCACCCACCCACCCACCTGTCCACCCATCCATCCACCCACCTGTCCATCCATCCATTTATCCATCCATCCATCCATCCATCCATCCATCCATCCATCCACCCACCCACCCACCTGTCCACCCATCCATCCACCCACCTGTCCATCCATCCATTTATCCATCCATCCATCCATCCATCCATCCATCCATCCATCCACCCACCCACCCACCCACCTGTCCACCCATCCATCCACCCACCTGTCCATCCATCCATCCATCCATCCATCCACCCACCCACCCACTCACCCACCCACCTGTCCACCCATCCATCCACCCACCTGTCCATCCATCCATTTATCCATCCATCCATCCACCCACCCACCCACCCACCCACCTGTCCACCCATCCATCCACCCACCTGTCCATCCATCCATTTATCCATTCACCCACCCATCCATCCACCCACCTGTCCATCCATCCATCCATCCATCCATCCATCCATCCATCCATCCATCCATCAATTTATCTATCCATCTATCCACCCACCTGTCCATCCATCCATTCACCCATCCATCCATTCACCCACCCATCCATCCACCCACCTGTCCATCCATCCATTTATCCAACCATCCATCCATCCACCCACCCACCCACCCACCCACCTGTCCATCCATCCATCCACCCACCTGTCCATCCATCCATCCATCCATCCACCCACCCACCCACCTGTCCATCCTTCCATATACTTGTCTATTCATCCACCCACCCATCCATCCACCCACCTATCCATCCATCCATCCATCTACCCACCCATCCATCCATCCATTTATCCTTCCATTTATTCATCCATTCATCCACCCACTTGTCCATCCTTCCATACACTTGTTTGTTCATCCATCCATCCATCCATCCATCCATCCATCCATCCATCCATCTTCTACTCATTCATTCATCCAGCTACCTGTCTTTCCACCTGACCGTCCACTTATCCAATCCATCTGTCCATCATCATTCAAATATCTATGTACCCATCTATTTATCTGTCATCTGTTTGTCCAGCCCTCCACTCACGTCAACCTTCCATTCATCCACCACTTATTCATCCACTGATTCATTCCTTCACCTACCCACTGTTTCTATTCATCCAACCAGTCAGCTGTCCATTAAACTATACTCATCATTCATTCATTCATTTCATTTCTAATTTTCCTCCCTCCCTCCCTCCCTCCCTCCCTCCCTCCCTCCCTCCCTCCCTCCCTCCCTCCCTCCCTTCCTTCCTTCTACCAATTCATTTACCCACCTATTTGTCCATCCATTTGTTCATTCATTCATTTGCTCAATCACTGACTCATTCATATTTTTGTTCATTTTCTCATCCATCCATCCACCCACCTTCTCCTGCTGACACAACCCCAGCAGCCCCTCCTGGGTCTTCTCCAAGTGCCACCTTCATTCCTGGGCACCTCCTGGGGCTAAGGGAGAGGTCAAACGCTAAAGTATTAGCCCTTTCTCTCCATGAAGGAAGCCTGGCGGAAAGGAGAGGAGAGTGGAGAGAAGCCCTGGGTGGGGTTAACGCATGGCCATCCCAATGCTGCATTCTATGCCAGGCCTAGCGCCATTCCCCTCGCTGCAGTCCCCTCGCTCCAACCCCCTTGCTGCAGCCCCCTGGCTCCAACCCCCTCACTGCAGCCCCCTGGATCCAACCCCCTGGCTCCAACCCCCTCACTGCAGCCCCCTTGCTGCAATCCCCTTGCTGCAGCCCCCCTCGCTGCAGCCCCCTGGCTCCAGCCCCTACATCACCTGTGTGGACCCATCCTCCTGCCACGGGTTCTGCCAAGCTGAGTTCTGCCGCCCAGACTCCAGAACAAAGGCATTTGCCTGGCTTCTTCCTGTGGTTTGTGTGGCTTCTGCAAGCCTGGGCTCCCAGGATCTGTCACCTGCAGACCCACTGCCTGAGGAGTGAGCCCTAGTTCCTGGCCCTTGGAATGGGGCTGAGGCGGGGCAGGACGTCCTGGAGTTCCCCAAGCTTTGGCAGTTGGTGTGAGGAATGAGGCTGATGTGAGGAATGAGGCCGATGAGGACAGTCTCATCGCCACGGCCGCCCCAGCCTCTGCTCCTGCAGAGCTAGTGCCATTATGATCCTGTCTAGGCCCGACCCTGGTGTCCCTCACGTGCCCGCGTGGCCCAGACTTGGAAACCAGCCCGTTTCTCTCCTCGACTCCTGCCTTCATCCGCTGCTCACCCGTTCACCCAGCTACCCATCTCTCCACCTGTCATCCATATGTCCAATCCATCCGTCCATCCATCACTCATTCCAATATCTATCTGTGCATCTATTCATCGTCATCTATTGGTCCAGCCTTCTGCCCTGAGAACCCCTAGACGCCCCTCTCAGGCTGGTGGCACCTGGAGGACAGATGAAGGCTGGAGATGTCCTCCTCGCTGCTCAGACTCATTTACTCCCTCGGATGCAGCCTGTTGTCACTGGTTCATTCAGTGAATGTTTCTCAAGCGCCCGCCACGTGCCAGGCAGTGGGTGGGCCCTGGGGTCCAGGGATGAGCTAGACCAGACACGCCCCTACTCAGTGGCCCCTTCCCTTTGGAGGGCGAGACAGACAATAAGCAGGTCAGTAAACATGGGAATTGAGGTGGGGGAGGGCTGAGGTAGGAGACTGGAGCTGATACAGGATTGGTAGTCCGGGAGGGCTTCTCGGAGGAGCTGACATTTAAGCCCAAAGCTGGAGGGTGAGGAAGGGCAGCCACACACAGGGGAGTGTCCCCGTGGAGGGAAGTGCAGGAGCAAGGGCAGAGCTGGGGAGCCTTGCCGTGTCTGGGGAGCTGGCTCGCAGGCGTCCGCACCCAGGGCAGCGAGAGCCTGCGCCCCGGCCCCTGCGGGCCTGCTGGAAGCCGGGGGCTCCGTGTCTCCCCTCCCCCTCAGGCCCCTCCTTCCAACCCTTAGAGAGTTGGGGTGTGGCTGGGCAGCTGCCGTCCTCAGAGACCCCGAAGGCCACCTCAGTGAGGTCTGGGGACGAGGGTGTTTTTATATTTTGGCTCAAAGGTCAAAGTTCAGGAGCAGATAGAACGGGGCTGTGCAGGTGGCAGGAGGGGCAGTACCAGTCTGTGCCCCCTCAGGAGAACACCTCTTTCCCCTTCCCGCTGGCTGCTGCCCACCGCCTGCCCAGTCTCTGCTGTCAGGGCACGGCCCGCTCCCCTCCTCCCTCCTCTTCTCCCTCCGTCTCACCCTGTCTTTCTGTCTGTGTGCACCGGGCTCACAGCAGGCGCTTAGTAACAGTACCAGCGAACTTACTGTGTGGTGGGCCTCGGCCGAGGCACCTCTGTGCGGGGCCTCCTTTGTCTCCACGGTTTCTTGAATGAATGAGTTAGTGATGAGACGTCGAATAAATGAATGAGTTGCTTCGTCTTCTAGCCTGGTTCCCCTTACTTTCTCACTGTCCTTGTCTCCGCCAGTCTCTGCCTGGCTTAGCAAGTGATCAGTAAATGACCAGCGGAAGGGTTGGATGGATGGATGGATGGATGGGTGGATGGATAGGCAGGCTTGTGTGTGTCGGTCTGGCTGTGTCTCCACCCAAAGCACAGGAGGAACCGGGTGGAGGACGTTGGATAAAACAGCTGCTCCAGCTGCCCCTCCCCTCTCAGTCTGGCCTGTCCTAGGGCTCTGGCTGACCCCCCAGGGCTGGTGGGGTGGGCAGGGGACAAACCCTCCGATCACCCTGCCTTCCCCACTTCAGGAAGCAGCCGCAGAGCCCCAAGGCTCCTGCGCCCCAGCCGCCCCCCATCCTCAAAGTCTTCAACCGGCCCATCCTCTTCGACATCGTGTCCCGGGGCTCCACTGTCGACCTGGATGGGCTGCTCCCCTACTTGCTGACCCACAAGAAGCGCCTGACTGACGAGGAGTTCCGGGGTGAGCCACCGGGAGGGGGGGGCGGGCAGGCCAGCCGGAGATGGGGGAGGCATCGGGGGTCCTTTCCCCTCACCTCTTCCCCGGGTCCGTGGGCTGCACAGGCTGGAATGAGCACTGGACAGGGAGCCTGGTCCTGTGTGTCTTTCACCAATTGCTTAACCTCTCTGGGCCTCCGCTGTCTTTATTCGTTCATGGTTCAGCCTTTACTCGAGGAAAGGGCAGTGCAGTAGGTCAGCAGATCCACCCACCTGGGTGCAATCCCCCTCCACCACTCGAGGGATGTGTGGCCTCCCTGAGCCTGTGTCCTCGTCTGTAAACTGGGGACTCCCTGAGCCTGTGTCCTCGTCTGTAAACTGGGGACTCCCTGAGCCTGTGTCCTCGTCTGTAAACTGGGGAGTGAGAACGGCGTAGTCCTGGCCCTCAGCAGGGAGAATTGCTTCATGCTGGCTCAGGCCGCTGGGATTCTGGGGAGTCCTGCCCCCTGGGGTGGGGCAGGGCATCAGGTCTGGTCCGCTTGTGCGCCCAGTCTCTTCCCCCCTCCATCCCCCCCCCCCCCAGCTTTCCAGCTTCCCTCCCCAGGCTGCAAAGCCCGTCTCCACTGCCCCAGGACTCCCCAGCCCCGAGAGCTCGCCCTCCAGCCTTCTCCAGGCTCCAGGCACCTCAGGGCCAGCTCCCTCGCTGCCCGGCCTTCCCTGGAAACCCAGGAAGGGGGTCTGAGCCCCTCCTCCAGGTCAGCTACCTGCTATGTGTGTTTGTTTTCATAAACAAGACCCCCCAGTTGTTTAGGTCTCAGGCCCCACAAAACCTGGATCCGCCCCTGCGTGACTTCCCAGCCAGAGGCTCATGAGGTCAACTGTGCCGCCCCCTCCCACCGCGGGTTTGACAACCTTTCCCGCCGGGCCCTGCTCTGGCAGCCCTGTGGGCAGTCACTTCGCCACCTGGTGGTCAAGTCTCAGAACTGCGTTTCTGGGAAGGCACTGTTCTTGGCATCTTATCCCAGGACCCAGGCTGGCAGCCCCCCAATCCCAGGATCGCCCAGGTCTGGGGGTGTGGAAGCCCAAATCCAGGGCCTCGTTCCGTGCCCCACACTTTGGGTTACCTGTGGTTGGAATTACCTGTGATGCCCAGCTCACCTGTCATTGAATGTTTATTGCCTCATTGGTCACCTACCACGTGTAAGGTGCTGCATTCGGCATGGGGTGAACAGTGATGAGCCAAGCAGACATGACTCTGTCCTCAAGTTGCTCACAGTCCTCCAGGGCGAGACCGACATTGATCAAACAATCACAGAAATAAATGCACAGTTACAAACTGTAATGTGTGTCAACTGGGGGATTTGACCTAGTCAGGAAAATCTGGGAGAGCTTCCTGGAGGAGGTGACACTTGAGCCGCGTCTGAATGAGCTGCAGTTAACCAGGTGAAAAGAGGAGGAGGGACTAGGGAGAGAGTGCAGGGACAGCATGTGCAAAGGCCCTGTGGCTCACTGTGATCAAAATGACACTTGATGTGACCACTCCAACTGCTGTGTGGAAAATGGACCAAAGGAAATCAGAGCGGCTGGTAAAACCCAGGCCGGTGCCTTAGGCATACAAGAGAGAGATGATGGCTGGGCCAGGGTGGTAGCAGTAGAGATGGAGATTGGTGGAGGGATTGGAGAAATGGGAGGTAAAATCAATAAGACCTGCTGGGGGGCGGGTAGGGAAGAAGGGAGGACAAGGACAGGAATGATGCAAAGGGGACGCCACGCTCTGAGACGGGACCTGTGCAGGCTGGGGTGGGTTTGGGGAGGGGATGGTGATGAGATTGGCAGGGAGAGTTGTGAATTGCCTGACAATTGGAAAACAAGTAGTAACGGGCTGTGGCCACCTCGAGGTTAGAGCTGAGTGGGGTGTGTCTGGACAGAATTCCCAGGGGCCTGGCTAGCAGGGAGCAGCCCCTCGCACTTACGAGGACAGGGAACTGGCGTCCGTTATTCATTCAAGAAATAGATTCCTGGCGTGGACTCTGGGCTTGTCCCAGGACCTCACTCCTGGGGGCGCTGGGACAGGAATTCAGGCCTCCATAGTGAGTGCGAGAATGTGCCCAACAGGGCGAGGTTCCTGCAGCACCTCCCGCTGAATAGTGAGAACTGCAGCGGTGATATTGCCTGAGGATTCCTACCTGCCGCTGCTGGCTCCGCAGGAAACAGCTGTTAGCGCATCCGTTTTCCTGTGCGGCCTCGCTTTAGCTGGAGAGGAACCTGAAGGGGAGGAAAGTTTGCACAGAAATTGGGACCACAGTCCCTGGTTCCAGAGCGGGCACCCGATCGGGCCTGCCCGAGCCCCAGCGCGATTCTCAGGGCGTTCTCTTCATTGACTCATTCTTTTAAAGGTATAAATCAACTTGTAACCATAAAAGTTCATACTCGGGAAGCAGGTTGCACAGGGACATTAGCGGTGTTAGTGGCAGGCTGTTAAGGACCCATTAGTACCAGAGACTGCCTTTGTGAGAGATCTGACAGTGGAACCTCGCTACGGGGTTATGATTGCTGCCCCTGTGGGCCCCCAGGTCCTCTTCCTTCCCTCCCAAGGTCAGCCACAGCCACTGCGGCGGGCAGTCCGCGCTTTGGGGAGCCCTGCACCTCCCCTGCCCCCTCTAGGGCACTAGTGCAAGTGATTCATGGGAGAGAATTTGTGTTCAAATAGGTGGGCAAAGGCTCCCTGCTGTGTCTGGCTGTGGAGGCTCCCAGCCTCATTAGTTAAAGGCTCTGAGAAGTCCTGCAGTAAAGAGATCTGGCTGGCTTTGTTGAACCCGCATTCCCCCCTCTATTCGATTTGTAAAATTCCCTCCAGATCTGCTTTCTAAATACCAGTCTCTCTAAAGGCTGCAGCTCCCCACATTTTAAAGAACTTCAGCCCCTCGAGTTTACGTGACCCCCTCAGCTCCACGGGGAGCAGATAGGGAGCAGTGCCCTGTCCCCTCTGCCCAGCAGTTGTGGGCCGTGGGCGAGCCCCTCATCCTGTACCTCTGTCCCCCAGAGCCTTCCACGGGGAAGACCTGCCTGCCCAAGGCCCTGCTGAACTTGAACAACGGCCGCAACGACACCATCCCCCTGCTGCTGGACATCGCCGAGCGCACCGGCAACATGCGCGAGTTCGTCAACTCGCCCTTCCGGGACATCTACTACCGAGGTGGGCCCGGCGGGAGGAGGGGGTGGGGGTGGCAGTGGGCACAGCCTCACTTTTCTCACCTCCGAGAGCTTCGGACTGGGCCCCACGTGCCAGCACGTGCCGAGAAACTACCGATTGTTGAATGAATGAATGAATGAATGAATGAACTCTGATTTCCTGCGTTTCACAATCAAGGTTCTGAGGTGCACGGAGCCTAGTGATCCATGAGCTTGGAAATCCGGACCTAGGATGCTATGGCTCCGGACACACTGAGGCCCTAGGGCAGTAGTGCTGTGAGCCAACAGCGCTAAGAGGCAGCGGTGTCGAGTCCCAGCTCCCGGGTCTAAATTCTGAGTCTGTTACTCAGATGTGACCTTTCAGATTCCCGGGTAGGAGGGCTCCAGTTCTGTGGGTTTCGGAACCTGAGCCCAGAGCTCTGAGAGACCACGAGATGGTGTTTCCTCCGGGGCGGGGGGTGGGGGGGGGGAAGGCCACTCGCTTGTGAGTCTGGAAGTTTCCCGCGTCTGGGATCCTACAAGTCGGATGCTGTTTGAGCCTAAGATCCTGCTTGCACGAGATGCCACATCTGGGAACATCTGTCTGGGGGTCCATTGCTGCCCTTGGGTGCAGCCAGCCGCGGGTCTGGCCTGAGCCCCCCCATTTCCACACTGCGCACCCCACCCCCTCCAAGACAGCTCTGGCCTCTGCTCTGCGGGAGCCGGAGCCGGAGCCGGGTGACCGTGCCCGTCCCTCTCAGGCCAGACCGCCCTGCACATCGCCATCGAGCGCCGCTGCAAGCACTACGTGGAGCTCCTGGTGGCCCAGGGGGCCGACGTCCACGCCCAGGCGCGGGGGCGCTTCTTCCAGCCCAAGGACGAGGGGGGCTACTTCTACTTCGGTGAGGAGGCCCGGGGGGCTGGGAGGTACTCGGTGGTCCCCACAGCCCTGACCCCCCCACATACCCAGGGCTCAGAGGGCCCCGTGCACGGCCCGCGCTGGTCTGGTCGCTGAGGCCTCGCCTTGGCGGGAGGAGAGCCACCGCGCCCCAGCTTCCCTGTCTGCACAGTGGGCTCGTGGGGGTGCGGCACCCGCACCTGTTCATGGCACCTTGGTCCAGTGTCCGCTGGGGCCAGCGGTCAGGCTGTGGGGCCCAAGCTTCAGCCCCCACGTCCCAGCTGGACCAGGGGGAGACTGCGTATCGCTCCTGTCACAGGCACGTGTTACGTGGGGCTCAGGGACAGTGCCTCCCGGGCTCCAAATCACATGGCCACGCTCCAGACAGCCACACCCGTCTTCCCAGCATCACCCACAGAAGGGGGAGTCACCACAGGACACGTTCCCACGCACTGTGGGTGCTGCATCCGGGTCACGGCGTCTGTCCCCCAAATATCTGCAGGCGAAGTCTCCCCCTGGGCCCCTCACTGACCCGTTCCCCCCACTTCTCCCCCCTCCCCGTGCACAGGTGAGCTGCCCCTGTCGCTGGCTGCCTGCACCAACCAGCCCCATATCGTCAACTACCTGACGGAGAACCCCCACAAGAAGGCGGACATGCGGCGGCAGGACTCCCGCGGCAACACCGTGCTGCACGCACTGGTGGCCATCGCCGACAACACCCGGGAGAACACCAAGTTCGTCACCAAGATGTACGACCTCCTGCTGCTCAAGTGTGCCCGCCTCTTCCCCGACAGCAACCTGGAGGCCGTGCTCAACAACGACGGCCTCTCGCCCCTCATGATGGCCGCCAAGACGGGCAAGATCGGGGTGAGTGCAGGGCTGGGGGGGCCGGGGGCGGGCACAGGTGGCCCACGAACTCCTGTTCTCCTACAGGCGTGCGCGCGCACGCACACACACACACACACACACAGCAGGCGCTGCTGCTGGCATTCATATGGTTAATACCCACACCCCCCCTCTCAGCATGCCAATCCCAGGGTACAGATGTCCCAGCTCAAGAGCCTGCTATGGCTCCCTATTGTCCAGCCAAGCGACTCAACTCCATCCGGAGCCTCTGGATGCTCACCTCCCACTCCCGCCAGCCAGGACCAGCCTCTGAGAGAAACCTGAGTCCCGGGGTTCCAGCGCTGCTGACCCCACTGCTGGGTCCTGGCTCGGCCGGAGCTGCCGCGTGACCCGTCCCTCCCCCTGGGCCCCCAGCGCAGGGCCTGGAGCAGGAGGCGGCTTGGCACTGCTGCCATTTGGGCTGAGTGGCCCTGGGTGTGGGGCTGTCCTGGGCATGTAGGATGCTGAGCTGCATCCCTGGCCTTAGCCTACGGATGCCAGCAGCAGCCTCCACCACTGTGACAGCACAGGTGTCTGCAGACATTGCCACACTGTGCTCTGGGGACACTGCACCCTGGAGAGGCAAACCTGGAGGACTCAGCAGTCAGGAGGGGCTGGGCCCCAGGCCTGGCTCGGCCACATTCCTCAGGCGTCTCCCCTCCCCTCTCTGTGCCTTCGTTTCCCCATCTGTACGTGGGGGTAGTAACAGTGCCCTGCGGCGGGTGTTGTTCTGTCAGCTAGATGAGGGGATCCACTTAAAGCTCTTGGGGCAGAGCCTGGGATGCGTAGTAAGTGCTCAGTAAGGAGCAGGGCGGTTATTACTCTATTGAAAATATAGCAGCTATTATCGGTGGCCGTTCCCCGCAGAGCCTGGGTGGTGGAGAGGCTGGGCTGAAATCCTGCTCCGTCCCACTCCACTGCAGGCCTCGGGCGACTCCACCGCTCTGCTCCTCAGTTTCCCTGTGTGAAAGCCAGTGAGAGTAGGAGTGGTAACAGGAAGGGCTGGTGTGGTAAGTATTATAGAACTAACAGAGGGACAAGGTTCGTGAATTGCTGTCTTAATTATACAAAGATGACATTCACTGCAGTCAGGTCGTTGAGGCCAGCCTGGGTTCAGTCTGGCTTCCGCCGGGCTGGTGTGGCCTCGGGACCCCTTCTCTTCTCCTAGTCTTCGTTTGCTCATCTGTAAGCCAAGACAGTCAGGGTAAGAATTAGACAAGATGCTGTGAGGAAAGGGCCCGGCACAGAGCGCGTGCTCGGTAAATACTTTCCCTCCCCGTCCTGCTCTCTGGGGAGAGCCATTTGATGGGCTGTGCCCGGCCCCGGGTCCCAGTGCCCCTCCTTGGGGCCCCTGACCCTCTGTCTCCTGCTCAGATCTTTCAGCACATCATCCGCCGGGAGGTGACGGATGAGGACACCAGACACCTGTCCCGCAAGTTCAAGGACTGGGCCTACGGGCCCGTGTATTCCTCGCTCTACGACCTCTCCTCCCTGGACACGTGTGGGGAAGAGGCCTCGGTGCTGGAGATCCTGGTGTACAACAGCAAGATTGAGGTGGGCACCAGGGCGGGGGACCGAGGGCTGTGGCTGAGAGCAGGGCGGTGGCCTGGGGCTGAAATCAGTGGGTCTGTGGGCTGAGTGCAAAAGAAGGTGCCAACTCAATGCCCAAAATGACGCCTGGCACTGGGGGGGGGGGGGCTGAGGGGACTGTAAGGGAGAGCTTCAGGGGCAGGCAGGCCTGGGTCAGGATTCTGGCTCCGTAACTTGCATGCTGTGTGACCCAGGACAAGTGACAGCCTCTCTGAGGCTGAGGATAAGGACAGTGCAGAGCTCATGGGGCTGCTGGGAAGACACCGTGAGTTAGTTTTGGAGCAGCCTGGCAGAGTAAACATTCTGTGCCAGCTGTTACCATTAGTAGATGTTATATGAAGTCTCGAAAGCTCCCTTTTCAGTGAGCAGTAGTTCGTGAACATCGTTCTGCACCATTAAATGTTCTTGTGCGACATCATTGCTGCCTGTAAATGTGCCCCGTGCTAATGAACCATTCCTCCATGCTTGGCCATGTGGGTTTGTGTCTGCCTTTAACTATCAGGGAAAAAAATACTACAGTCGCATCTCTGTGGCTACGCTGTTGCACAGATCCGTGGTTATAAAGAGACTCAGTCATTGGAGGGACAGGATGCTTACAACTGGGGCAGAGAGTGCTGCCTGGGTGCAGGAGGCCCCCTCCCGCCCTGGCCCGCCCCTCCCGCCCTGGCTGCCCAGCGTGGACAGGCCTTCTCTTGCCCGAGCTTACTTCCCCATCTTGAAATTACTGACTGACTTGATTCTTTTCTTTTCTTTTTTAAAAATATATTTTTTATTGATTTCAGAGAGGAAGGGAGAGGGAGAGGGAGATAGAAACATCAATGGTGAGAGAATCATGGATCGGCTGCCTCCTGCACGCCCCCTTCTGGGGATTGAGCCTGCAACCCAGGCGTGTGCCCTGGACCGGAGTCGAACCCGGGACCCTTCAGTCCGCAGGCCAACGCTCTATCCACTGAGCGAAGCCAGCCAGGGCATGACTTGATTTTGATGGGGTGGCGGGAGGTTTAGCGTATCTGGTGCCAACTCTGATCGCCAGTTTCTGCTTGGGGAACTGTATGGAGGCGACGGTGCAGGACTTGGTCACTGATGTCTGGCCTGGGTTCGTCATTGGGAAGCTGTGGTGAGTCAGGTATTAGCGTCCTGGGCTGAGTCTCCCAGTTTGCTTCCTGAGTCAAAATCCAGGGGCTTGTATTTTGGCAAGCAGCTCGGTGCCATCCCCAGCTGGGAGTTCGGGGACCGTGAGCACAGGTTCCAGCCGGGTTCTGAGTCTAGAACAGGCCTCCCAGGCGAGGCGGGCAGACCTGGTGCTGAGCCCAGGAGTTGGGGGCGGAGTCCCCCTCCCCTCCCTGACGATCGGGTCGGGGGCAGTGCTGGGGGCGGCGGGAGTGCGGGTCGCCCGCCCAGCGCGGCCCTGACGCCCGCCCGCAGAACCGCCACGAGATGCTGGCCGTGGAGCCCATCAACGAGCTGCTGCGGGACAAGTGGCGCAAGTTCGGGGCCGTCTCCTTCTACATCAACGTGGTCTCCTACCTGTGCGCCATGGTCATCTTCACCCTGACCGCCTACTACCAGCCGCTGGAGGGCACCGTGAGTGGCCGTGCCGGGCGGGGCTGGGCATGGCGGGTCCCCAGGCGTCCCCTGTGGGGGAACCGGAGGCGGCTGGGGAGCAGGATGGAGGGGTGCCTCCGCGTGCCCAGCGGGGAGAGGAGGGAGGAGGCTCCCTGGGGTCAGGTGTTGGGCCGTTGAGGGGACTTCTGGATCTGGGACTCGGTGTGGCAGGGGCTGGTGAGGACCTGCGTCCCCCGCCCCCCAGCCACCGTACCCTTACCGCACCACCGTGGACTACCTGAGGCTGGCCGGGGAGGTCATCACGCTCTTCACCGGGGTCCTGTTCTTTCTCACCAACGTGAGTGTGTGGCCCCCAAACCCACCGGCCCAGCCCACCCTCCTCCTCCTCCCTTTCCCCTTCTCCAGCCCTGTACTCCCCTCTGCTCGTCCCTCCTTTCCCAACAGACCAGCCCATCGTCTTTTCTCTGCACAGCAGTCGGCCTCCCTCTATTCTCTTCCTTCTTCTGCCTCTCTCCCCTCCCCTCCCCTCCCCTCCCCTCCCCTCCCCTCCCTCCCTCCCCTCCCCTCCCTCTGTGCTCCTGGGGCTCCACCCCTCACCTGCCTCCCCTCCCCTCCCCTCCCTCTGTGCTCCTGGGCCTCCACCCCTCACCTGCCTCCCCTGCCTCCAGATCAAAGACTTGTTCATGAAGAAATGTCCCGGAGTGAATTCTCTCTTCATCGATGGCTCCTTCCAGTTGCTCTAGTGAGTGGAGGCCCCGGCTGGCAGCCCTGGGTCAGGAAGGTGGGGTTGGGCTGGGACATCCAGTTGCTCTAGTGAGTGGAGGCCCCGGCTGGCAGCCCTGGGTCAGGAAGGCGGGGTTGGGCTGGGACATCGTCCAGGTTGGGGTGTGGGGCTGTGACTCCTAATAGCAGTGAGTTCACCCAGCCTGGCCACCTGGAGCCCGAGGTCAGGACAAGGCCAATCGATGCTAAGCAGTAGCGTCTTCTGATCACAGCAAGATTCTGGTTGCTAGAGCGTTACCACACACACCGGGGATGGACATGATTGAACCCCTCCTGCTGGTGGTGGGTTGGGAATGTCTGCCTGGAGTGCCCTGCTGGGAGGATTTGAGGCTGTGTCAGTGTTTGGTGGGAGAGTGCTGTGATGGATTATTGATGTCTGCCTCGGGCACAGGCTGCTACTGCAGGTGGCTACGTCTTTCCTTTCCCTTAGAGCCGGAGAGCAGTGAAGTCCACGCAGCCACAAAATCCCCACTGCACACCACGACTCTCTAGCGCACTGGTTCTCAACCTTCCTAATGCCGCGACCCTTTAATACAGTTCCTCATGTGGTGGTGACCCCCAATTTCATTGTTACAAATTGAACATAATTAAAGCATAGTGATTAAGCACAAAAACAATATGTAATTATATACATGTTTTCCGATGGTCTTAGGCGACCCCTGTGAAAGGGTCGTTCGACCCCCAAAGGGGTCGCGACCCACAGGTTGAGAACCGCTGCTCTAGCGGTTCCAAAGGCATCACTTAGGGATCTTGCAGGGCTCAGGCCATTGCACACACAGTAATTGTCAGTTCACCGAGCATGCTGGGTAACAGGGAACCCACTGTGCATCTTCTGGGTTTCTAGAGCGTATGGGGTGTCTTGGCACCGTGGAGGGCTTAGGGCCTGTCTCCCCCTCAGGGCCTCATTGCCCCCTCCCCCCCGGCCCCTCCTGTGGTCTCTGCTGCCTGCAGCTTCATCTACTCCGTGCTGGTGATTGTCTCGGCGGCCCTCTACCTGGCAGGGATCGAGGCGTACCTGGCGGTCATGGTCTTCGCCTTGGTCCTGGGCTGGATGAACGCCCTTTACTTCACGCGTGGGCTGAAGCTAACAGGGACTTACAGCATCATGATCCAGAAGGTACAGAGTGGGGGACCCGCGGAGCTGCGTGCCCTGGAGGGAGCCCCCACGCCAGGCACACGTCTCACGTGCGCGGACAGTGCCGTGGGCCTGATGTGGGCACGCGGGGGCCGCGGGCAGGGCCTGGGCGCCGGGAGGGCCTGGGCGCGTTGGAAGGGGATGGGGGTGGAGGCCCCGGGCGAGCGAGAAGCCGTGCGCCTCACCCTCGCCTCCGTCTCCCGCTGGGCCTGCAGATCCTCTTCAAAGACCTGTTCCGCTTCCTGCTGGTCTACTTGCTCTTCATGGTCGGCTACGCGTCGGGTGAGCCGGGCGCCGGGGCTGCGGGGCGGCGTGACGTGTGGGAAGATGAGCAGCGTGTGGCGTTCTCACGGTGCTAGGCGCTGGGCTAAGTCCTTCCCCTTCCCCGTCTCTTAATCCTCCCGGCAAGTCTGGAAGACAACAAGCCTTCGCTGTCTCCTTTCGCAGATGAGGAATCAGGCTGGGAACGGTTGAATAACTTGCCCAGGCTCAAAAGCTAGGACAGGGTGCCACTGGCATGTTAACTATTATTGCAAAAGAAGCCACAGAAAGCGCAGTGGCTTAAGACAGCCGCCGTGCATTTACTGTTCGGGAGCCCAGCTCAGCTGGGTGGTGTGCTGGCCGGGACCGATCTGGCTCGTCTTCCAGGCCCCGTGTCTGGGCTCCGTGGGTGGTTGGCTGGTCTGCCTGGTCTGGCCAGATGGCCGCAGTGGGGGCGTCTTTGCTCTCCCCTGTGGTCACTCCCCTCCAGCCGGCTGTATGGGGCTCGGGCGCAGGGTGGTCTGTGGGGTCTCAGAACGTGAGCCGAAGTGTTCAAGGTCACTTCCTGGCACAGCATCACTTCTGCCTCCCTCTATTGGCCAAAGCAAGACCGAAGGCGGCCTCGGTTCAGAGGTGGGGAAATAGACCAGACCTCGCCACAGAAGGAGCTGCAAGCCACACTGAAGGGGCGTGGCTACAGGGAGAGTGAGTTCTCATAAGTAATCTATCAGCCCAGGTCTATTTATTTATTTATTTATTATTGATTTCAGAAAGGAAGGGGGAGAGGGAGAGAGAGAGAGAGAGAGAGAGAGAGAGAGAGACATCAATGATGAGAGAATCATTGATCAGCTGCCTCCTGCATGCCCCCTCCTGGGGATCGAGCCCACAATCCAGGCACGTGCCCTGACCAGGAATCAAACCCTGACCTCCTGGTTCATAGGTCAATGCTCAACCAACCACTGAGCCACGCCGGTCAGGCAGCCCAGGTCCTTTTTAAAGCTCAATACTGGCCCCTCAAGTATGGCTTCTCCGTGACGTCATGATGCCGCGGGACCTCAGGGGCGCAGGCTGTGGGGGAAGGACCAGGAACGGGGAACGGACCAAGCCTGGCTGTTCCCTAGCGGGTGGGTGATCGCCCATTCGATGCTCAGCGTCCAAACGCGAGTGGACGGCTCAGGCTTCGCTGCCGCATTCCACCTGAGGAGGCTGGTCGGGGACCAGCCCTGGAGCAGGACCTGATGGCAGCGGTATTTTAACCAGATGGTGGGTGATTCCGGGGAACCAGACTGCAGCCTTAGCTGGGGAGAGAGGGACCGGCTACAGCTGCCCCTCCCGGTGATGAGACTTAGCAGAACTAGACAGAGTGTCAGGGGTTCCACAGTGGTTTGGGATTCGGGTCAAGCCCAGCCCTACTGCAGTCCTAACTATAGAAACTGAGGCAGAAGCTTCGTGGTTGAAGTGGCAGCTGAGGGGTCAGCTTGCTGCCGGGGCTTCTGCTGCGGGACACGAGCTCCCTGGTCTGCGGTTGACATGACACAAACATGACGCGTGCTCTTGTTCCACGTTTGTGCCCGTGACAGACATGGCCAGTGGATCACAGAACGGTTTTTCTGATGCGTCCAGACGAGATTCCAGAATCCTTCTCAACACACATTTCAGCAGCCACTGCCCAACCGAGTGGCGTTGGCAGGAGCTGTGATCCCAGGTGGAAGGCACTAGGGCAGTGATGGCGAACCGATGACACGGGTGTCAGAGGTGACACGCGAACTCATTTTTTTGGTTGATTTTTCTTTGTTAAGTGGCATTTAAATATATAAAATAAATATCAAAAATATAAGTCTTTGTTTTACTATGGTTGCAAATATCAAAAAATTTCTATATGTGACACGGCACCAGAGTTCAGTTAGGGTTTTTCAAAATGCTGGCACGCCGAGCTCAGAAGGTTCGCCATCACTGGCCTAGGGCGTTCTATGCCCCAGGAGCGCAGGGCCTCCGTCCGCATGCTCCCTGCCCCGGGCGTCGGGGCGGTTGTTGCTGCTCAGCTGTGTTGAGAAGGATCTGAAGCTGCGTCTGGGCTGAGCACCCCTGTCGGCTGAGGTGTCTGGAGGGGTGAGGGCCTCAGCGAGCCCGGCTTCTGGGCCGGCAGCACTGGCGCCGGTTTCGGCTCCTGCCCTTCCTCTGTGAGCGTCTGCCCGGAGCTCGGGTCCCAGGCTCCCGGGACCTGCGGGAACGCCGGCTGGAGCAGGGCTTCTCAGCCTCAGCACGTGCGGCTTTTGGGGCCGGATGATTCTCCTGTGGGCTGTCCTGTGCGTGGGGTGTTTGTCAGCATCCCTGGCCTCTGCCGAGTGCACGCCAGCAGCACTCCCTCCGCTGTGCAACCAAACACGGCTCAGGACAGTGTAGATGCCCCGGGTGGGTGGGGGGGGGGTCACCCTCTCAGGACATTGCAGATGCTGGGGGGGGGGTCACCCTCTCAGGACATTGCAGATGCTGGGGGGGGGTCACCCTCTCAGGACACTGCAGATGCTGGGGGGTCACCCTCTCAGGACACTGCAGATGCTGGGGGGTCACCCTCTCAGGACACTGCAGATGCTGGGGGGTCACCCTCTCAGGACACTGCAGATGCTGGGGGGGTCACCCTCTCAGGACATTCCAGATGCCCCGGGGGGGGTCACCCTCTCAGGACATTCCAGATGCCCCGGGGGGGGTCACCCTCTCAGGACATTCCAGATGCCCCGGGGGGGGGGTCACCCCAGGTGGAGGCCCTCCTCCTCGCTGGCAGGATTTCTGGGAAGAGCAGTGGCTTCGGATTCGGGAAGACCCCGGCCTGGCTGACGTGCTGGGTAGCCCTGGGCCCGTGCTCTCCAATGACCAAGTCTCAGTTTCCCCTCCATCCGATGGGGATGACTCTCCCCCCCCTCAGCTGGCGCCTGACACTCAGCGAATGCCCGCCCCCCCGTCCCGCCCACAGCCCTGGTGTCCCTGCTGAACCCGTGCGCCAACATGAAGGAGTGCGGCGAGGACCACGCCAACTGCACGGCGCCCACGTACCCCTCGTGCCGCGACAGCGACACCTTCAGCACCTTCCTGCTGGACCTGTTCAAGCTGACCATCGGCATGGGCGACCTGGAGATGCTGGGCAGCACCAAGTACCCCGCCGTGTTCATCGTGCTGCTGGTCACCTACATCATCCTCACCTTCGTGCTGCTGCTCAACATGCTCATCGCCCTCATGGGGGAGACGGTGGGCCAGGTCTCCAAGGAGAGCAAGCACATCTGGAAGCTACAGGTGAGCGGCTCCTCCGCCCCCCGCCCTCCTTCCGAGAGGGGCCTCGGACCCTCCACCTCCTCAGCCTTCCGCCCCGGGCAAGCCACGCCGCCTCCTGCCTCCCCCTCCCTGTCTGTAAAATGGGCATCCCAGGCTGCGCCTGCTTCCCAGAGTCGCCTACTGTGTTGCCAGCGGCTTCTTGCCTGACCGCCAGCAGTGGTCTCGCCCCACCTTGGGGTCCAGTTCCCAGGACAGTCGCCTCCGGGCACTGAGAGCCTCTGGCACAGGGAGTGCTCAGGGAGCCGGGCCTTGCAGCAGGGTCTGCGCCCAGGCCAGGGGCCAGGGGCAGCTTCCAGCCCCGGCCCCCCGGGATGCCGTCGTGTGGAAGGCAGTGCGGGCTGGGCCTCACTGGCCCGGGTGCGATCCTAGGCAGCAGAGGCCTGGGGGCCCGCCTGCCCGGGCCGAGCACAGTTCCCGAATCTGGTTTTCACAGTGGGCTTTCCAAGGCCCAGGCACGCACTGCACCTCCCTGACTCGGTGAGAAAAGAACCCCAAGGTCACCCTCCCACACGGGCCTCAGGGCAACACCCAGATCTGCTCTGAGTCCTTCCCCACACGGCCTCAGTTTCCCCCCAGTGCGACTCATCAGATGTAAACCGGCAGCCTGTGGACTGGATTTGACCAGCAAAGATTTATTTTTTTCTTTATCATTAAGAAAAAATTAATGCAGAATTTTAAAGTTAAGAGATTTCATATAAAAATCCAGGTTGTGGCCTTTCTTGGCGAGGTGGGCCCACACCCCTGCCTGGCCGCCCCCTGTGCGTGGGCTGTGCTCTCTGGTTTGCCCCAGGCCTCACCCCTCCCTAGTGCTCCCCGCACTGAGCTGCGACTGCTGTGCTGAGCCCTGAGCTGCGGCCTTTCTGCCTCTGATGCTGCCTCACCCATTTATTCTGCTGGGTCAGGGGGATTCGAGTTTGTAACTTTCCAGGGTCAGTGGGAGCTGGAAAGCCTACTTCTCTGCCCACCCCGCCTGCCATCATCTCTGCCATCAGGGCAGTGGGCGGGCGGGCGAGGCTCACCCCCGGCCTGTGCCCCCCCCCCCCCCCCCAGTGGGCCACCACCATCCTGGACATCGAGCGCTCCTTCCCCGTGTTCCTGCGGAAGGCCTTCCGCTCCGGCGAGATGGTGACCGTGGGCAAGAGCTCAGACGGCACCCCCGACCGCCGATGGTGCTTCAGGTGAGCGGGCGGATGGGCGGACGGCGCGGACGGGGTGGACGGGGCGGGACCCTCCGGCGAGATCCGGCCTCCTGCGTCTTCCGCCCGTGGCGGCTCCTCGAGCCACAGGCCACGATGGTCCTGACGGAAGTTCTGTTCTGCTGGCTGAGGCTGGGTGAGGGGTTCACCTCTCAGCCTTGGTTTCCTCACCTGTGAAATGGGGACAATGCTAATCCCACCCCCGGGCCAGCGATCAATCGGATGGGTTACGCAGGAGACAGCGCCTGCCCGTGCCCGGGGCGCCCCCACGCAGCATGTTGCGGCTCCTCTGTCCCCGTCTCAGGGCTCCATCCCGGCTGATAAGCGCGTGGGGCCTCGCTGGGAGGGAGAGGTGACTCAGCAGCTTCCAGGGCTGGGAGGGAGAGGTGACTCAGCAGCTTCCAGGGCTGGGAGGGAGAGGTGACTCAGCAGCTTCCCGGGCTGGCGACGTTCCCCAGGGGCCCGGCCGACGCCAGCTTCTTAGGGGAACCCGGAGCCAGTCTTTTCTCGTAAGCGGGTCGTTCTCCGTGCAGTGAGTGCCGCCTGGACTGCAGTCATGTTTGGGTCAGGCAGTCCGTGTCCTCCTCTGGGAAGTGGCCGTGGTAATAGCACCGGCTCACAGGCCAGTCGGTCTGTCCTGTTCCGTTTGAACCCCAAAGTCAAATCCCGACAGATTTGTCAGCATTGTGACCTTGGACAGTGTAACAAGCCTCAGTTCCCTTGTCCGTAAACTGGGAACAGTGACTCTATCTTCCTTGCTCGGTCCTAACACATAGCACTTGCTCGAGAAATGGGGGTTGAGTACAAATAACAAAAATAAGTTTAAGAAGGAAAAATTACGTTGAGCCACTTTGGGCGTAAGAGGCTGTAACCTGACTCTCCGAGGGCGTCCCAAACTAAGGGGGCGTTTTAAGAAGGAGGGTGTCCACCTGCAGACGTGTGGCTCAGCCTGTGGTACATCCATGCATGGAGGGTTACTCAGCCACGAAAAGGAAGGAAGTCCTGACGCGCTACCACGGGAACGAGCCTCAGAAACATCACGCTAATGGAAGCAGCCGGCCCGGAGGCCGTGCACGCTGTGCCCCCTTACACGCAGTGCCCGGGGCCTGGAGTTCACGAGCGGAAAGTAGAAGAGGCAGCCGCGGGCTGGCGGAGGGGGATGGGGCACCTCATTTCTGTTGGGGGGATAAGACAGTTTGGGGATTAGAGAGGTGATGGTTGCACAACCTTGGGCATTTCTTTAACGCACTGAATTGTTGACTTAAAAATGGTTGGGCCCTAACCGGTGTGGCTCAGTGGATAGAGCGTCGGCCTGCGGACTGAAGGGTCCCAGGTTCGATTCCGGTCAAGGGCATGTACCTTGGTTGCGGGCACATCCCCAGTGGGGAGTGTGCAGGAGGCAGCTGATCGATGTTTCTCTCTCATCGATGTTTCTAACTCTCTATCCCTCTCCCTTCCTCTCTGTAAAAATCAATAAAATATATTTTAAAAATGGTTGGAATAAAAATGAGGAGGAGGGTGCTCTGGGAGGCTGCGGGAGGCGGGGGGGCGGGGTGCCGCCTCGGCGGGGGCTCCCCCTGACCTTTCCCTGCTGTGGCCCCGCAGGGTGGACGAGGTGAACTGGTCTCACTGGAACCAGAACTTGGGCATCATTAACGAGGACCCGGGCAAGAACGAGAGCTACCAGTACTACGGCTTCTCCCACACCATGGGCCGCCTCCGGAGGGGTGAGTGAAAGGACGGGGGTTGGGGAGCCGACGCAGGGCGCAGAGGGGCAGCCTTGGGCCAGGCCCATCACTAATCGGCTTGGAGCGATCCTGTCCTCTCTGAGACTTGGTGTTCCCGTCTGTGGAATGGGAGGGTCGGATGAGCTGCCCGCTGAGTGCCTTTGCTGCCGTGCATGCCTGGGGCCTCCCTTCCACACGCTAAGTGCCTGAGGCGCGGGAGGACGGGGCGCCCAGGTTCTCGCCTGAAGTCTCATGGTCGCATGTGCTCCTGTGTGCTCCTGGGCAGGCGCCTTGACCTGAGCCCAGTCTCCACCTCTGTGAAATGGGGACGATGAGGCCTCCCCCCTTAGGTCACTGTGGAGAGCCCGGTACACAGTAGGCGCTCCATAGATGCACGTGCACTCCCCACCAACTCTCACTTCCCCGTGCTCACTCCAGATCGCTGGTCCTCCGTGGTGCCGCGCGTTGTGGAACTGAACAAAAACTCGAACCCAGACGAGGTGGTGGTGCCTCTGGACCACATGGGGAACCCCAGCTGCGACGGCCACCAGCAGAGCTACCCCCCCAAATGGAGGACTGATGATGCCCCCCTCTAGGGGCTGCAGGCAGGGGCATGGTCTCCGGCCTGCAGCCACCCCCTTCCCCTCCACCCACCATTTCGAGTCCACCTGCATTTCAGCCACATGTCCTGTTGACCCAGAGGTGAGGGCCAGGCAGACGCCAGGATGGCCCTAGGACCCTCTGGCCCCAGGCTCCTGCCCCAGCTCCCCTCCCCCCCTCACCCAGGCACAGGGCTCCTGGCCGCCTGTCTCACTCCCATGGAGTCACATAAGCCAAAGCCGGGCCTCCTGCCCACAGGGGCTCCCCAGCCCCTCATTATTTATTTGTTCTGCTCTCAGGAAAACAGCATGACACCCCACCCCCCGCCCCCCAATGGAACCTGGCAGAGGCCTCAGGACCCTGTTCCGGGTCCCAGGTGCACTGCGGGCCCAGCACCCACCCCATCCTGCGTCCTGGGCTGCACACAGCACCGGGAGCTGCAGTGAGGGGCCTTTGGGGGTGGGGAGGGGGGGACAGGCCTGGGGCGGGACCATGCCTCCTGTGCTTCTGTAGAGGGGCTGGGGTTTGCTGGTGCTCAATAAAGGTTCGTTCACTGATGGTGGAGGTGCTGGGGCGATGGGGGTGGTGGTGACAGGCACAGGGTGGCAGGAGGGAGATGGGAGCGCTAAGAAATGCCTGTGGGGTGGGGGAGGTGGGGCCGAGGGCAGTTGCAATGGCCTAGGTGGTGGTTAGGGTGAAGGTTGGGGGCCGGACAGGAGGTGGTGGTGGTGGCCTGAGAGATGGGGTGATTGGAGTGGTGATGGGGAAGGTAGAGAAGGGAATGGAGGAGAGAAATGGTGTGTGTGGGGGGGGGGGAGCTGTGTTGATGGGAGAATAATGCTGCTTGGGAAACAGTGAGTATTGGGGTTCCATTTGTGAGGAGGTAATGCTCACCAGAGGACAGCGGTCACGCTGTGCTGGGGTGGGGGTGGGGGCAGGAGAGCTGCCGGGAGGGCGGAGCGGAGGCGGAGGTGACAGCTCTGGCCAGGTGAGCCCTCAGTGTCAGAGGCAGGCGAGGATGCGGCGGCCTCAGGGAGGCCATGAGTGACCGTGGGTGAGAGTGCTTGGGGCCTGGGGAGGGATGGGCCCTGCCTCTCTCTCGGGCCCCATCCCAGCAGGGCTGCAGGTGAGTGGAGGTGAAGGCGGACCCCTTCCCCTGCAAGGGCAGCCGTTCACCTGGGGTCACTCACCTGCTCCTCAGGCCCCGGACTGGGCAGCGCCAGCCTCCTGCGCCTGAGGCCCCCCCAGCACTGTGCTGCCATGTTCAGCCGCATCCAGAGGAGGAAGGACAGGTGGCCAGTGTCTCCTTTTTTGAGGGAGGAGACCCCCCCCCCCCCCGGCCTCCCAGCTGCCCCCCTCCTGTGCCGTTAGCCAGGTTTGTGTCACGTGTCCCACACTCCAGCCAGCCAGCGGGCCTGGAGCAGCATGCGGCCTAAGAAGCCCGGAAAGTAGGGAGAAGGTAGTTCCCCCAGCAGGTGGTTCTGTGGGAAAGGAGAGTGGAAGAGTCCACGTTACCTAGGCAACCCTTAGCGTTTGCTGCAGTTGCCCACCCTACATTCCAGCTGTCCAGTGGGGAGGGACCAGATGGTCACCAAGAATGGCGTGGGTCCTTCTGGGAGGGTATGGGATGGGCCTGCCCACAGATCAGAACACCCTCTCAGCTCAAAGGGACTCTCAGCGTACTGAGGCGAATGCTCCATTCATTCATTAAAAGAAAATTGTAGGCTATGAATTTTCCTCTGAGTGCGTTTTTATCTAAACTCATAGAAACTTTCTGTGCTGGCCGTTTAGCTCCGTTGGTTGGCGTGTCGTCGGATATGCCAAGGTTGCCAGTGTGATCCCCAGTCAGGGCATTCAATACAAGAGTCAAACAAAGATGCATAATAAGCGGAACTACAAATAGAAGCTTCTCTCTCTCTCCCCCTTTCTCTCTCCATCAATAAACAATTTTAAATATGGAGTAACTTTTCTAACTGTGATTTCCTAAATATTTGAGGGTTTGGGTGTTGATTCTTTATAACTCAACAGTGATTAGGGGCAATTTAAAATGTTTTCAACTCGTCCCGGAAGATCTTAGCGATGACCTTTCCCCGTGTCCTTCAGTGTGGGACACATGCTGGTGGCGTGCCGCCATGTTCTCAGGGACCACGCTGACTATGGGATCCCTAAGAGCAAAACATACGCCCCATGCCCTAGCCGGTGTGGCTCAGTGGATAGAGCGTCGGCCTGCGGACTGAAGGGTCCCGGGTTCGATTCTGGTCAAGGGCACATGCTCAGGTTGCAGGCTCAATCTCCACTAGAGGGCGTGCAGGGGGCAGCCGAGCAATGATTCTCTCTCATCATTGACGTTTCCATCTCTCCCTCTTCTTTCCTCTCTGAGATCAATAAAAATATATATTTAAAAACACACACGCCCTTTTCAGGTCTCTGTCCTGATGACGACAAGGTCTCAGTCTGATGCTTCTGCGTCCTCAGTGCCCCCCAGGGGTTGCTAATCTCTCTCTCTTTATAGAGAATCGCCTGAGGCCCAGCACCTCGGAACGGCAGTGAGAGCCAAGGGTGGCGTTAGCCTCGCCGGAACCCTGCGCCTGGGGAGGGGCGTTCCTGAGGGAACGCTGACAGCTGGGCCACAGCCCAAGTCCGACTCTTCCTTCATCCATGCCTTTGCAGCACAGCTTTGTGGCCCCGCCCACGGTGGGCGGAGCATAATGGCACACCCTGGCCATGTGACTTGTTTTAACCAATGGGGTGCTAGCAGCTCGCCCAGCCGTGCCCCTGGCAGGAGGCGGAGCGGCTGGGAGCAGAGCTTTGTCTCTGGGGGAGCCTCGCTGAGAGCAGGACCCGCAGGCGCAGGAAGAGCTGGCTCGTATGCCACTGAGGTTCTGTGATGGTTTTTCAGGTGCAGGCAGCCATTTTTGGCAATAACAGATACAGACTCTAAGAAACAGTAAGGAGAACCCGGCAGGCATGGCCGCTGCGCTCCCTGTGCCAGAAGAGAGGCTCGGAGAAGTGAGTTTCTCCCCGACGCCTGGCTGGAGGTGTGGAGCTGGGACCTGACCCGGCCTTCTGCCCTCAGTCCCTCCGGGGAAGAAAGCACTGACCTCGGAGGCCAAGGTCACGCGTGTGACGAAGCCCCGGGGTCGCCTGCCACCTCCCTGGGCCCGAGGCTGTCAGCTCCCAGGCCCGCCCGCTTCCTCTGCACCTGCCCTAACTTTGTTCCGAGGAGGATTTCTTAGGATGTGCGCGTGCGCCTGTGTATTCGCCGCGATAAAGCGCTTCTGTGTCATATTTGACAGGAGGGCTTTTTCTTCCAAGCTTAAAGCACTATTGGGGAATAATTAGCGCCACTGGAGTCGAAAACAATGGGGCCCCTCAGAAAAGACAGTCTCGGAACTCTCGGGTCTTAATTGAACAATTACCTCTTCTGCTGTGAATAGTTCGTTATCGCGCGCCCTGTGATTATGAGCTGTTATTGTTGTTTTAGATGAATGCTGGGGATTTTTAAAAATCAAAAGCCATTTCCAGCCGCACTGTTCATCTCCCCCGACTCCCCCGTGACATTCCCGAAGGTCGGCAGTGGGCGTCCACGCCCCGGGGTTCTGTATTCCGATCACTCGGCTGTTTGGACGACAGGACCGCTAACTAATCCAGACCAGCGTTCCCAGTTACTGCTCTTTGACCGCCTGGTGAAATGTTTGCATGACACCAAGCACCCCCACCTTTTATGTTTTAGATTCCAGTCTCTGGGGAGATCTTCGTTCAGCCCAAGCGTAGAGCCTGAGGCAAAGGAGGTGGTGGCCATGGGCCAGAGGCAGGAGGGCAGGCGCTTGGGCAGTGCCGCCCGCTCCTGGGATGAGGGCAGGGGCTCGGGGGGAGCGGCCAGGCTGGGAGTCTGTGTTCTTGGAGGGATCACACAAAGAAGGCACGTGAACATGGATAAGGCACCGACCGGCGTCACTCATGTCCTCAGGGGCCACGTACAGAGCGTGTGGGCTGGCGCTGCTGTCTCCCTAGAGGTCGTGTCCCTCTTCCTTAAGCAGCACCTGCTGTTTACAGTTCACCACCGGCTGCTTCCTTTACCAGGTTAACCACGTGAGCCCGTTCTGACCTGTGAGCCGGGGGGCAAGCCTGGAGGAGGAGGAAGTCAGGGAAATGGGGGGAGTGTAGGGAGACGCTGCCTTCTTTGCTGGGCACTGTCAGGCCTGGACGTGACGTCCGGAACTGCGGCAGCCGTTCTGTGACCAGGAAGGGCCTGGTGGGACGGAGGTGAAAGGCATGGGCCCCGGTGATGCCGCCGAGCAGCGGATTCAACCACCCTGTCTTCTTAGGAGGGTTTGAGATAAGTTTCCCTTCTTATTTAAAGGTCAGGGTTTCCTCTTACTCTGCCAACTCATGCAGATGCAAGAACAGATTTTTATCCCCATTTTACAGATGGAGAGAGTGAGACCCAATGAGGTAAACACACTTGCCCAGGGCGCACGGCCTGGACGTGGTGGAGCTGGGTCTGAACACTGTCTCAGGCGGAGACCCTTCCTGGAGGGTGGCAGGGTTCTTTTTTAACTGAGTGTCTCGGCCTTTGGAAGCAGCGCACAGTCCATCTCCGCAGCAGCAGGCTCACTGGCTCCGAATGTGAGGACAGGAGAGGCTGGGTGAGCTGGGGCTCTAACCCAGCCCCCAGATCCGAGCCCAGAGTCTTCTCAGCACCTCAAGGTACTCGGTGACATCAGAAAGCCCCCCTTGCTTTTAGCCACCCCATCTTTGGGATGCATCCACTGGATCCCACAGAGTTGCTTTGGCCTGAGCAGGGTGGTGCTGGAGACCCGCCACCAGGGGTCACTGTCGTCACACCCAGGGCCTAGTCAGGGGCGCCTGAGGAAAACTTGGACCGAGGCAACATGGTGGGCAAGAGCCCCTGCTGAGCTTCCCTTCACGTGTGCCGGAGGCCGTAAGACTCAGACCGCCCCTGCCCCCCACTCCTGTCCTCCCCAATCCTCTCTAATTCAGAGAGGCTCTGCCTCTGGATAGTTGCTGTGTGCCCTTAGGCAAGTTGCCATCCCTCTCTGAACTTCACTTTTCTTTTTCAAAATAGGGGTATTCATTCCACTTCTCCAATGAGGGCTCCCTCTCTCTCCCTGGGGTCTTTCCCTTCATCTGGGCCTAGTTGGACAGGTGTATGAAGACCATTTAGGATGCGGTGGCCCAGGTCAGGGTGGGATTCCAGTCCTTGCTCTGCTGCGAATTCATTCAGAGTCTTTGTGTTGCAACTGGGGAAACTGGGACCCAGATCGGAGCAGGGACTTATGGGAGAGGTAGGACTCAGCATTTCCTGAAGCCCGGTTTATTCCTTGGGAGATTAACAGATAAAAACCAAAAACTCAGGCGACCAAAGAGTTAGGGAAATGCCGGTTAAAGTGGAAGGTGTCTTGCCTGCAGGACTTTTCAGAGCCTTTATGTGCGAAGGTAATTTGTGCCACTCCAAGAAGGAGGGAGGAGGATCTGAATCTACTTCTCAAACCTGTTGGACTTGGAAACCCACTTTCCAAGGTGAAGGTCAGCCAGGCCAGGTGCTGACAGGAAGAACACACCTGACGTTTGGGGCATCTTTCACGAAACAGGCTCCGTGCCGTCCGCGGGATTTGGCCACCCATTTCCTATGTTCTACCCGCGTGGCGCATGCTTTGTAACGCTGGCCTCACTCTACAGCTGAGGAGCAGGCAGCTCATAGGGCAGTGGTTCTCAACCTTCTGGCCCTTTAAATACAGCTCCTCATGTTGTGACCCAACCATAAAATTATTTTCGTTGCTACTTCATAACTGTAATGTTGCTACTGTTATGAATCGTCATGTAAATATCTGATATGGAGGATGGTCTTAGGCGACCCCTGTGAAAGGGTCGTTCGACCGCCAAAGGGGTCGCGACCCCCAGGTTGAGAACTGCTGTCATAGAGGGCGGCCACTTGCCAAGGCCACAGCTGGCGAGGGGCAGTGGGGAGGTGGCCTCTCACAGGACTCGTTTCCCTGTCACCCTGGTCACATGTCACCCGGGGCCATTCCCCTTCAGGCGTCACCACTCCCTTTTGACAAACCACGAATTGAGGCTCAGCCCGGCCGGCGTGGCTCAGTGGTTGAGCGTCGACCTATGAACCAGGAGATCCCGGTTCGCTTCCTGGTCAGCGCACATGTCCGGGTTGTGGGCTTGATCCCTTGTAGGGGGTGTGTAGGAGGCAGCCAGTCTATGATTCTTTCTCATCATTGATGTTTCTCTCTCTCTCTCCCTCTCCCTTCTTCTCTGAAATAGAAAAAGGATTGAGGCTCAGTGTGACGGTCCTGGTTCACACAGGCGTCCATGGGCACTGAGGCTAGTGTTTTGCCTCCTCTCTTCCTCTTGCCGCTCTCCAGCGAGCTGGCGATGATGGTGATTTTAACAGAAAAGCTTTTGTGCATTGGGTTCGCCCACCGCACTGGCCAGGTTCCACCTTCCAGCGGCCAGGACGGGGCAGGGGGCCGCCTGGGCCCTGTAAGACAGCCGGACGCGCAGGCAGGCGCAGTGCCGCGCGTGGGCCGTGGGCCGTGGGGCGTGGAATCCCAGCTGCCACTGGGAGCTGAGTTCCGAGTCGCTGAAGGCAAGGCAAGGGTGGAGCTGGTCTCCGCTCCCCCTTCCAGAAGCAGGGGAGCGCTCTGGGGCTGGGATGCGAGTCAGGAAACAGGAGCCCCAGGGGGTGGGTGTCCCTGCGTCGGCCCCTCCGGTAGGTTCGCGAAGCCCGCGCCCCGGGCAGCTCTGAGTCTCAGCCGGGACGGTAAGTGGTCGTCGGTAGAGGTCCCGTGCAGCCACAGGTGGCCCCGGGGTGGGGCAGCTCGGCTCTCGTGTGCCCGAGGGGAGAGGGGGAGACAGGCCGAGGAGGGATGGCGGCTGGGGCTGGGGCTGACGGGGTGCAGGTCCCCCCTCTGCTCCTTCAGCACGAAGTCCCCGCAGCCCGGGATGTGGAGCCACCGGGGCCGCACTTGGCTTTATGCTCTGGCCGCAGCCGGGCGGCCGGGCGGCCGGAGCTCAGCCCTGAGCCAGGGCCTGGGAGCGTTCCCAGCGGCCTCGTGCCCCGGCCTCCGCCTGTGGCCTGAGCTGTGACCGCCCTTCCCGGCCCCTCGCTCCTGTGTCGCTCGCACCGGGAAAGGTGGAGCTCCGCGCAGCCCTCACCAGGTTGTCTGGTTAGGGAGACGTCATGTGGGCGTCAGTGAGGTGGTAGGAACGTAACTCGTTGTACCAGTTGGCCTGGTGACACCGGCTTCCTCAGACATCGCCCTGCATGAGGCTGCAGAGGCCGTGGGCCTTACGGGCGGGCTGACAGCCGCTTCGCGCCCAGGCCGCCTGCAGGAGCCGGGCTGCCTGCAGTTGCAGCCGTGACAGCGTCCTCCCCTGGCTGCGCCTCCATGTTGTAATCAAGGTGATTGACCGTGTAAAGGGCAGGGGACGGGGGGGGGGGGGGGGGGGGCGCGATGCTGGAGGCCATTTGAGGTCAGCTAGCGCAGCTCCCAGCGAGAAGGAACCCCGCCCGCCCAGGCACCCAGGCCGCCGGTGCCAGGACAGGGTTAGAACCCCAGCGGGGCCTGGGCCCCCACCTGCAGTCGAGGGACCTGGCCTGGAGGGGTTCCCGTCCTCTGCTCCTCTCGATACCGCAGTGTGGGTGGGCCTGGCGGTGGGCCAGGGCAGGGGGCTCGGGCTACCCTGAGGCCATGCTGGTGCTGAGGTGGCCCCAGGGGTGCCACCGGCCAACACCCAGCCCTAAACCCGGCTGTGGGCCCCGGGGCCCTGCCCCCTCCAAGGACCCAGGCTGTGCCGTCTCCTTGGGTCCTCGTCTGGTCTGGCTGGGGTGTGATGGCTCGGGGCTACTGGGAGCAGCAGCGCAGGATTCAGAGCCCGCCTCCTGCCCCCTCCGGCTGCCCCAGCCCGCGATGCCCCCAGTGGCTTCGGCCAGGTCTGAAGGTGGAGGCAGCCTAGTGAGGGTGCGGGGGTGACGGCAGAGCCTGGCTCCTCCTCCCCATCCCTTGGCCGTGCCCACCTTCCCTGAGTCCTTGCTCATCTGTAAAGCGGGATGGTTGTACTTCACACCTGGGAGGGCTGTTGTGAGGGCGGCTGCAGTCACATCCAACCCGGAGGCCGCGACCCCCAGGTTGAGAACTGCTGTCATAGAGGGCGGCCACTTGCCAAGGCCACAGCTGGCGAGGGGCAGTGGGGAGGTGGCCTCTCACAGGACTCGTTTCCCTGTCACCCTGGTCACATGTCACCCGGGGCCATTCCCCTTCAGGCGTCACCACTCCCTTTTGACAAACCACGAATTGAGGCTCAGCCCGGCCGGCGTGGCTCAGTGGTTGAGCGTCGACCTACGAACCAGGAGCTCCCGGTTCGATTCCTGGTCACTTCTCCAGAGGGAGAGCTGGGAAGGGACTTAATGATGCAGGGGGGACGCCACCCCAGGCCCCTCCGCACGGTGCCGGGAAGGAGCCGCGGCCTGGGTGGTTCTGTCTCGGCCGCTCTGCGGAGGGGTCTCTGGCTGACCAAGGGGCTGATGTGTGAACAAGGCACACGACTGCGTCCACTTGAGAGCTGGGGGCGTGGGTGGCAGTGACAGCACAGGGGTGGCACCGGGGCAAGGTCCTGGCCTGGGAGGGAGAGTATGGGGGGCAGGGTCCTGGCCTGGGAGGGGGAGTATGGGGGAGGCAGGGTCCTGGCCTGGGAGGGGGGTATGGGGGGGGCAGGGTCCTGGCTGGGAGGGGGTTATGGGGGGGCAGGGTCCTGGCCTGGGAGGGGGAGTATGGGGGGGCAGGGTCCTGGCCTGGGAGGGGGGTATGGGGGGGGCAGGGTCCTGGCTGGGAGGGGGTTATGGGGGGCAGGGTCCTGGCCTGGGAGGGGGAGTATGGGGGGGCAGGGTCCTGGCTGGGACGGGGGTATGGGGGGGCAGGGTCCTGGCCTGGGAGGGGGGTATGGGGGGCAGGGTCCTGGCTGGGAGGGGGGTACGGGGGGGGCAGGGTCCTGGCCTGGGAGAAGGGGTGGGGGGGCAGGGTCCTGGCTGGGAGGGGGGTACGGGGGGGGCAGGGTCCTGGCTGGGAGGGGGACACGGGGGGGGCAGGGTCCTGGCTGGGAGGGGGGTACGGGGGGGCAGGGTCCTGGCTGGGAGGGGGACACGGGGGGGCAGGGTCCTGGCTGGGAGGGGGGTACGGGGGGGCAGGGTTCTGGCTGGGAGGGGGACACGGGGGGGCAGGGTCCTGGCTGGGAGTGGGGTACGGGGAGGTACAGGATCCTGGCTGGGAGGGGGGGCAGGGTCCTGGCTGGGAGGGGGCATGTTCCGCTCCCAGGGGAGGAGAAAGCGCAACACAAGCGCCGAACAAGCCACAGCGAGACGCCATCTGTGTTTCCTTTTTTTCTTCCTCTTCGTTTTTAAAACAATACAGTGCAGACTGCACTTCTCACAGTAGAATATAATGGTCAATTTTAGTATAAAAAAACATTCTCAGAGATTTGTAAATGCACTTAGTGCTTGAACAGGCCTTGGAGAGATACAGTACCGCTGCCGGGGCCGGCGGGGGAGCCCCTGCTGCCCCCCTCACCCCCGATGGTGCGGGCCGGCCCTGGGGGCACTGGCAGGAAGGGAGCTGCCCTGGGCCTCCCAGTTAAAGCCAGCAGCTCCCCTCCCTGGCTCCAGCAGAGAACCCCGAGGAAGGCAGGGCAGGCCCCCTGCAGCCCTGGGTTCCTTGTGCGAATGGGGGAGGGCACCCCTGCCTCAGGCTTCGGGAGGTCGCCTCCTAAACACACAAGTCTGGGTGCGAGAGGCGTCTCCTCAGACGAGGTGCCCTGTGCGGTGTGCGGCCACAGCTGTGCCAGCAGCCCCGTGGACGTGGACGTGCTGGAGGAAAGGGAAGGGGGCGGGAGCCCGGGGGTGGGGGGTGGGGATGGGGGGCGGTTTTTCTGTGCTGGGAAGGAATGGGGGAGGGGAGGAGAGTCTAGAGGAGCAGGGGGGCCGGTGGTCCCTGGAGCCCTCATGAGTGGCATTCACCTGGGTTGGCTGGTGGGGGGCCCTGCGGGACCGCCGACTCCCCCTGCGGCTTTTCCAGGTGTCTGGGGCTTGTGGGGAGCTGTCTGACCCCTGGGGGCACTTGGGGCCCTCTGGTTCTAAGCCCCGCATTTCTTCCTGCCTCCTGCCCTGGCCTGGGCTCCCCCCTGGGAGTGCCAATGGAGCCCTGGTGGTGAAGGTGGTCTCTCCCCTCCCTCGTCAGCGTGGACGCAGGGAGGCCCTCCCTGGGTCTTGGGGCCTCTGAAGTGGGGGGACAGGCCTTGGTGAGCAAGGTCACCTGCCAGACCTCCACAGACCCGGCAGCAGCCAGCCCCGCTGCCCGGGGGCACCAGTGGCCCCTGCGCGCTGACTGCTGTCCTCCGCCCGCCTCCCCGTCGGTGCCCTGTCCCTCCGTCCGTGCGGCACAGGCAGGCCTTATCTGTAGACAGGCAGGCGGATGTGGGCGTGCTGGTGGTCGAGCAGCCGGGGCACCGCCACGGTCTCGTAGCCCTTGCCCAGCATCTGCTCCTTGATGCAGGGCGGCCGGAGGTCGTTGATGAGATACTCCAGCGACTGCAGGCTGCTGCTCAGGGCCGCCGTGCTGCACGCGCTCCTGCTGGGCAGGCCGGAGAGGGCCTCCGCGGGCGGCCCCGCCAGCTCCCGGGCGCCCCCGGGCCCCAGCTCGGCCACGGCCACCGCCGGGTTGTAACAGTCGCTGGTGGGTGTCACCAGCACGCTGTTCCAGGGGGCGGCAAAGTACTGGCCCACGGTGAGGCCGGCAGGCAGCCCCACGCTGCAGGTGAGGGGGGACCCACTGGCCCGCTCGTATGCCCGCCCCCCACAAGCCTCCGGGGACTTGCTGGCCACCGTGCCGCCGCTGTAGGCCCGCAGAGGCTGGGGCGGCGGTGGGGGTGGCTTCTGTGGCCACAGCAGGTAGTCCAGGCTGCCATCCACGTACCCTGCGGGCTTGGCGGCTCCAGCCAACGTCAAGGCCGAGCTTCCCGGGCCCAGCTCGGTGCCTCTGCGACAGTCGGGCAGGCCCGCGGCCGAATAGGCCAGGCTGGGGAAGCTGGGCACTGGGCCGTGCTTGGCCGGGCTGGGCTGAGGCACAGCCACGCCCTGGCAGGCCGCGGGGGCCGCGCCCGGGGCCTGGCACTGCTGGTTGAGCTGGTAGAGGAGGCTGTGGATGGAGGGCAGGTTGGAAGGCGGCAGGGCCAGGCCGCGGCCGGGCAGGGGGATGACGGAGGCGGCCGTGGCGGCGGCCGTGGGCAGGCCGGGTGGCGGGGCGGGCGCCTCAGGAGGCTTGGGGTAGGCCAAGGGCCCCAGAGTGCTGGGCGCCGGGTAGGGCGCGATGCCCACCTGCACGGTGGCTGGCGACAGCTTGGTCCGCTTGCCCTCGGCGCTCTTGAGCACGCCTTTGACAGGCCCGGCGGGCGCGGCCGCGCTGGAGGAGACGGCGGCCTTGACGACGGCCAGCAGGCCCTGGTAGCCGGCGTGCTGCGGGTAGGGGCTGTAGCGTTGGCCGCACGTGTCGTAGCCGTTGACGGTGCGGCCCAGGTGCTTGTGCTGCGGCACCCGGATGGTGGTGGGGAAGATCTTGATGGACAGAGGGCTGTTGGCCACCTTCTCAGCGTAGGCGTCGAGCTCGGCCGGGCTCGGGTAGCGGGAGGAATGCATGGAGCTGGCCACCGCCTCGCCTGGGGGGACAGGGAAGAGAGGTGAGCGCTGAGCAGGTGACACGGGAGGCCTGGAGCCGCACTTGCTATTGGCTGCCCTTCCCTAGCGCCTTCCTCCATTCACCCCCTGGCTCCTCCCTCCTTCTGAGTTAAGCTCCATGGAGTGTAGGTAAAGGGATCAGGACACGCTCCTGTGACAATGCCTGGGCCCAGGGGTCAGGGGTGGGGCGAGGCCAGGGTCCGAGGGCCCCAGCCCTCCCGGTCGCCAGCCGCCAGGTCAGCGGCCCGCCTGTCTGCTCACTGCGAGAACCGGCGCCTGGTGTGTCCCTGGGGAGGTGGCGCGGGCGGCACTGGCATCGCGTCGGTGGCTAAAGGCTGCGTTTGTGAGGCCAGTGCGCGGTGTCTGCTCCTGGCATGGGCGTGTGCTCTCCGTGCACCTACATCAGCCTGCCTATCCCTCCTGTTACCGGTGGGAGTCGTGTCCCGGTCGGGGCTGACTCAGTGGCCCTCTGGCCCGGCGTGTGTATTCAGCGAGTTCTGTGGGAACATGGCCACGAGCAGAACCGCTGGGACACGGGAGGCAAATGCTCAGCGTTAGGAGAAAATGCCCCGACCGTTTGCCAAAGAGACTGTGCCGGGCACATGCCACCGGCAGAGCCCAGGAGCCCGGCTCCACACCCGCCGCGCTCGGTGCTGTCTTTGCTGCAGTGCCTGTGGGTGCCCACTCCTGCCCCTCCCCTCTCGGTGCCTCCCTTTCCTCACCCGTCAAATGGGGGTTTGGGGCATTGGCCTGTGAGCAGAGCCCAGCACGTGGCCTGGCGGGAGGGGCCACTGCTGTGGGCTTTCACCTGGCGCCACATTTCCTGTCCAGTCAGTAGGCAGGGGAGGGACATCGCGCTCTGGCTGCCCAGCCCCATCCTGAGTCTGCCCGTCACCTGCAAAGCCACCGCCTTTTGTGTGAACTGCGCTTTGTGTGCCAGTGGGCGCACCTGCCCCTGCCACCGGGAGGCAGGTCGCTGGTGGGCTGACCCCTCCTCCCATCCAGAGCCTCTCCCTTGGTCCCAAGACATTCCTCTCCTGGGGCCCTGAGGCAGGGGCAGCACCATGTGGATGGAAGGACCCTGCCCGGGCTCAGGGCTGGCTGGCCTGGCTGGAGGGCCCTGTGTAAGTTGCTTGCAAAGCGGAGCCTCAGTTTTCCCACCTGTGGAATGGGGGTAATGATCATGCCAGGTCTGCAGGGTGACCTCAACTGTAGCAAGGGGCCCAGCAGCTGGTGAGGCGCACAGTAGGTGCTGGGAGATCGGGACCTGTCTGGGCGCTTGGGTGAGGAAGACCCTACAAGGTTTCAGAGGCATACTGCCTTCCTGTCCTGTGGGCACCCCCAGGACCCGCCAGTGACTCCGGAGGGGCCTTCACCACCCGGAACCTCAGTTTCCACATCTGTAAAATGGGAGTGCTGCTAACACTACCTCCCAGAGTGGCTGTGAGGGTTTAACAAGTCGTTCGCAGTGGAGTGTTAGCAGAAGTGGGTGTTCTCCGTCTGTGGTCATTCCTTCCCGGGTGCCTGGGGCCAGGGCCTTGCGGGAGAGGAAGGGGCGGGGCTTGTGCGCAGGTGGGCCTGGCACTGTGGCTGCGGCAGAGTGTGAACGAACGTCCCACTCTCCCAGAGCCTCACCCATGGCGCCCTCCGGGGCCCACAGCCAATGTGGGCAAATGCATGCTGTGGGGGGAGGGCAGGCAGTGGGGGATGCTGGGGAGCCAACCCGGCCGGGCTCCGGAGATGGCTTTTTGGAAGACAGGACACCGCAGTTAAGGCCATGGTGAAAGGGGTGACGAGGGAGGCAGATGTCCGGTGGGAACTATAATTCAGAGGGCAGCAGCCGGGAGCAGCGTGCAGAGAAGCCCTGAGGCCTGGGCAGGCCGAACCAAACGGAGAGCGCTCTTCACCGAGGGCCGCAGCTCTCAGGCGTTCCTACCCCCAGGGCACGTGGCGAGGTCTAGAGCTGCATTAGATGCCACAACGTGAGGGGGTGCTACTGGCATCTAGTGGGCAGAGGGGCTGCTGAACATCCATGATGCACAGCACAGCCCCCCACAAAGAGCTGTCAGGGCCCCGAGTGCCAGCAGTGCGAGGAGAGAGGCCCTGCCCCAGGGCCTGGGCAGCCAGGGAAGATTAAGCAGGGAGGGCAGGGCAGGCAGCGCGGTAGGAAGGCCATCCACTCTGCCCCTCGGTGCAGGGATGGGGCCTGAGCTGGGCCGGGCAGCAGGGAGGGGAGGGGCGGGCAGCACCAGAGGAGGCTGAGCAGTGTTTGTCCTCTGGCCTGACCTGGGCTGGGCAGGTGGAACCGGCCAGAGGCCCCCATCCTGCCCCTGCCTGGGGCAGCCCCCACCTCAGTGGCCTAAAATAAACTCAGTGTGGAGAATGGAAATGTCACTTTGGCCAACGGGGGAATCTTTCTCAGGGATTGGATTTAAACTACATTATACAAGCAATTTCATGGGCACTTAGCACCGGGCGGAGAGGCCCACAAAAAAGGGACCAGCTCTTCATTTTCCAGCCATAAATCAGCAGTTGCTATAATGAGCACAAAAATGTCACTTTTATGCAATTTTACAGATGAACAAAACTGGTGAAATTAACTGTGGTAACCTACTATAGTCAGCAAAAGCAGCTGCCGGGGAAAAAATTATATCTGTCTGTATTTTTGTGCCTCTTAAACTCTCTTTCCAAGCAAGTTTCTGCCATTGTGGTGCGAACACTCATTTGTCCTCACCATTATACTTCCATTTGGAGTTTATCTTGAGTATCCAATGAGCCACCAACTGTGAACATGATTAAATCTACAAAATCTATCTAATGGATGGAATAAATTAGGTGTTTAAAACCTGAAGAAGGAGGGCGGGGAGCAGCGCCTGTCACTGTTCCCACTCATTGAGAGAAGGGCCCTGTCGGGCCCCGTCGGGCCCCGTCGGGCCAGCAGGCTCCTCGGCGGGCTGGTCCCTCTGGCTCTTCCTGGAGCCACTGGTGGGGGCGCAGCGGAGGCTGCCCGTGGGGGAGTGCTTGGCACATGCTGGGCCCCGAGCCTGTGGCCCCTCGGCCCCTCTTGTCTGGAGCACCTGGCAGCTCTGAGAGGTGGGAGGTGTCCCCCTTGCACAGCTGAGGAAGCAGACAAGGTGTGGCACCGGGAAGGTGGTCTCCAAGATATTCATGTCCTCTGCGGTCCCTTCCCGCTCCCAATGCGGCCGCCCTGTGCAACCTGCAAGGGGAGGAGTGTGGGGCCCGGGGTGTGTGTGTGTGTGTGTGTGTGTGTGTGTAAAAGGCACTGCGGCCTCCTCCTGGCTCATTCTCTCTTGGATCACTCACTCTGGGGAAGGCAGCTGCCACGTGAGGACGCGGGAGCGGCCCGTGGGGAGGCCTCCCGCCCCAGCCTGGGAGCCTTCTTGGAAGTGGGCCCTCCAGCCCCGGTCGAGCTTTCGGATGACTGCAGCTCCGGCCGACCTCAGACTGCAGCCGTGCGAGAGACGAGGAGCAGAACTGCCCAGCTGGGCCACTGCTGGGTTCCTGGTGCACACAGGCCTGGGAGCTACCGCACGGTCACTGATGCTTTAGCTGTGAAGTTCTGGAGCAACTTGCTCCCCAGCAACAGATAGCGAGTGCAGGCCCTCATTTTACGGAGGAGGAAATGGAAGCTCGGCGACCCCCAGGACCACACCACTGGCAGGGGGCAGAGCCGGGTGGGACCTGGTCTGTTTTCCAAGTCCCCTCCTCCCATGTCTCCTACCTCTCCCTCCGCACCCCAAGGCAGGCCTCACGGGAGCAGGAGACTCATGATGCTCTCCCTCCCCCTCCCCCACCACAGAATGAGGACTGCGATCATTTGTGGTGGTTGTTATTCCTCACCTGAGGGTATTTTCCCCTTGACTGTCAGAGAGAGTGGAAGGGAGGGGGAGAGACAGAGAAACATCCACGTGAGAGGCGCATCGATTGGTTGCCTCCCTCATGTGCCCTGACCAGGAGGAGCCTGTGACCGGGGTACATGCCCTTGACTGGAATTGAACTCACGACCCTTCCGTCGGCAGCCCGATGTCCTAGCCACGGAGCCAAAGAGGAGGACGATCTTGAGGAGGAGCCATAATCAGCCTCGAGGCTCAGAGAGACAGGTGACCCATCAGAGGCCACGCGGGCAGGCTGTCTGCCTGGCTTCTGCTTTGCTCCTCGAGGTGCCAGCGGCAGCCTGAGCCTGTCCTGCCTGGACACGGGCCTGGCTGGGCCTGCGCAGTGCTCTTCGGTTCCTGGGAGCGAGACTTCGGCCTCACACCCGGCCTGGCTGCGGCGGCCCCTGCTGCACACCTCGTCCCTGAGGCCCCGGGCGCTGCACACAGCCTTTCCCACCGGAGTATCCGGCCATGCTGGGTCCCTGGCCCCTCGGCCCAGCCTGGGTCCCTGGAGGTGGGCCCAGCCCTGTGTCAGTGCCACTGTGCAGCCTGGTTTTGGCAAATGCAATGACCCAGGCAAAGGCCTCACGTGAAGGAAGCAGCAGAGCCAGCTGTCTGCGGCGGCTCCTGAGCAAGGGCGAGATGGGGCAGCGCTCATGGGGTGACTGCGGGGCGGGGGAGGGGGCCCCATGGCGAGGGGACCCCCGGAGTTCCACGGCCTGGGGTTCGTCACCACCGCACTGACTGACTGCAGGGGCTGCCTCCCCCCCCCCGACGTGGGCTCCCTGAGCTGCTCGCTGCCGTGTCCCCACCAACATGTCTAGCTGCGCAGGGATGTCGTGTCGAATGGACAGCGAGGCTGTGGCCAGGGGCGCCCTCCAGCCTGGGAGCCCCGCTCACTGCGCCGCGACACCTAGGAGAGTTAGTCCTGGGAGGGGCTCCTCGGAGGCGGCCGTGGAGAGCGGCCTTCCAAGGCCTCGCCCCACCCATACCTGCCAGTGTTTCCCGGCCCCTCCTGGGCGGCGCTGTCCTGGGCCAGATAACTCTCCTCCCCACCTCACGCGCCCAGGGCCTCTCTGTACAGC